CCTGTTTTTGCCCTCCCCTAGAAATTAATATTGGATGGAAAATCTTAGTACTCTTGAGAAAGAGGAACATAATTCATTTTGACTAAAATTTGGAAAGTAAAGAAGTTCTTTAAACTTGTGGAAGTGGTACACAAGCTCGCTAGGACAACCTGCTCACAAGGGTTAACTATTTCCACATTGCAAGAGCAGCTGAACACCCCCACTTACTGCTGAGTTTAATGGGCGTTGCAGCTGCTCATTGTTATTCAAGCAGTTTCTACTGGAGACCTTATTTTTAGAGCCCTGTGACATTCTTTTTATTTTTTATAATTCTTCATTTTCCTTTATGGGAATTTGTTGTTTTGTTTTTGTCCTGCCCCCTGCGGGGTGGAAGCCCTTGGGTGTGGGGGTTGCAGACCTTGCTTAATTTGTAATGAAAGTGGTGCTAGGACTCAAGCAATGATTTACTTTTATAATTGATGCAGCAAGCCCAGAGGTGCTGAGGCTATGAACTGCCAAGCCTACAAGTGCTAGGGCTCAGTCCTGGCACAAATTAAGCACTGGTTGCAGAGCAAGCCTGTCCTGCACTCACCTTACAGCTGCAGCTTTTGTCCAGTGGAGCTTGGCTGCCTGCTCTGGGCACTGTGACCTGGTGCATAGGGGAGCAGTGCTGGCCCAGGGTTGGCCCAGCTACCCCTCCATCATGCTGGGAGCAGGACCTGGCTCTGCGGCATACATTTTTTGTTGTTTTGCATTAGCAAAAAACAGAGCACTATTTATGTCCCTTAACTTCCTGTCCTAAGGTGTTGCATGCTGTTACTCTTGATTCCCTGTGAAAGAAGTGGCAGCTTCTGGGGGGGAGGAAAACAAAAACACACAGTATACAAACCAGAGACACTTTCCTTTTCATGCTCCTCTACTTGCAGTGTCACCTCAGAGATATCACCAAGCTGTGTGCACAAGAGCATATTTGACCATGCTGCTTGTACTCAAAGTGGTTCAGTGGCAGTGTGAAGGTGGGAGCTCTTGCGAGGTCTCCAGGTAACTCAGTTCCCAGTGGTTTGGTATAATCTGACCTGCTGCAGCCTTGCTTAATTCCTTCCACACCCATCTAACAACTGAAAACTGCAGTTTGATTGGGCTTAAGCAAACACACCTCTTGCTCTTGCTGAACCGACTGTGGTGGTTTTGGGGAATCACTGTGCTTTTACCAGTGGGTTGCTTGGGCTGGGTGCTGCAGAATGAATAGTATGTAAGGATCCGAGCATCTGCTGCTGAAAGGATGGCCTCTTGCTTATGGACAAAATATTCCCCAGTGTGCCCTTCTGAAGGCTGCTCTAGCTTGCGCCAGCTGCCAGTAGAAGCCAGGGATCGCTGGGTTACCTAGCTGCTGTGGGAGGAGAGAAGGGTAGAGCATGGATTTGCCATCTGAGCCCCCCACATGCCTAGGAAGTCCTTGCAAGGTCAGCTGCTCTAATTCAGTGGAGATGTTTCTTCCATCTGAAACCAAGCTGTTAAGGATAGCTGCTTTTTAGTTATTGCTGGTGCTGACTATAATGTGAAATGATTTGCACTGTTCCCTTAACTAGTATTCCAAGCAGGCTGTTTACTGAGGAAATGTTGCCCTTGTCATCCACATCAGAAAGCCCCACCCAGTGCAGTGCAAGCAAGTCCTCTGTATCTTTGCTGAGGAAAGCCCCAGGCATTGAATAGCTGGGGTGCTGCAGGACAATTGTGAGGCAGGAGTTAGTACAGAGCCACTCTAGATCATGAGCAGAATATTATTTTTACAGCAACAGGCATTGAGGAATCATAATACGTATTCAGCACTCAGGTCCCAGTTGCAAGGGAATTCCCTGTGGGTTCATGTAGAAAATATACGAGATCTTCTAGTGAATAAGAGAGCAAATTTGGCTTTAGCAAGTTTGTTCTTCTTTACATAGTTAAAAAACCAAAACTTAAACCAAAGAGTCAAACATGCAGAACCAATATTTTTAGGATGAGCCTCAAGGCTCAGTAGAGATTGGCCCTCTGTGCTATAGTTGCCTTCTCTGTTCCTTGTGTTTTTTTTTTTTTTAAATATCCCCCATTAAATGAAAGATGGGTTCTTTGCTGCTGCAGAGCCTATGTCTGAGTGGCAGCCAGATTTCCCACTTGGCTACTCAAATACCCATTCTCCAGGGTTGATCTTACTGGGGTGCCCTCACACGCTTGTAAGCTGCGTCCGGTCCGCAGTATGATCACTGTGGCGTACACTGTGTGTTGTCCAGGCAGTACCCTCTAGAATCTTAGTACGTCTTTAATTGACTGCAGCTCTCTAGAGCCTTTCATTTCACTTTACTCACACCTCAGATGAGTCACTCTTACCTTTCATTCTTTTGCCTTTGTTGCAAGCTGCTACAGTACTAGTTTTGTTCACTTCAATATATGGCTATTGATTTGGGAGAGCTGAAGCTGTGGTTTTCAACATTCCATGAACTTTAGCTCTGTTTTCCTGTCATTTTGCTTGGAAAGCCTCCAACACATTCAGCAAGTCACATGCCCCAGAGCTTACATGTCTTTGCATTGCTCAACAAATGGAATGTTTCTCTTCGCTCTCAAAAGCTTCAGGGCCACCCCTCACACTGCGGCAGAAAAAAGAAAGGTTACCCCCCCCCCCCCCCCCCACATCAACCAGAAAAGCAGCTCATTTTCATGCCTCGGAGTCTTTTTACATAAGTGCCAAAAATGTCTCCCAACTCTCTCAATGGCTGGATGCCAATTAGTCACTCAGTCTCCACTTCACTTGGCTTGTCACCCCCCTTGCTCCAGGGTCCATTGAAACAGGCATAAACTTCTGAGTGCCCAGACTTTACTTCCTGGCCCTGGTACCTTCCCTGGCACCTTCCCTGGCCTGACAACTCTTCTACCTGCAGCTCTCCTATAGCTTGTCTTTCTGGTCTTACAGCTCTTGCACCCACTTTAGTCCAGGTGTAGTCAGCTGGCTCTAGTCCTCCCTGCTTTAGCTCATAGTTTGTGTGCGGATCTGGCTGTCACCATTGTAACATTATGTACACCTTCCAGTGCTCTTCTGAAAGCACTGCAGTGGGTCAGCTGCCTAGTTCAACATCTGGCAATACTTCCCCAAAACTGCTGCAAAATGGGGCATTTGCACAGGAGTTGGATGGGCAGGTAACCCCCTCAGCAAGAGCAGTGTCATTGCATAGGAGCCACCAGCAAGTGCTGCAGGAAGATCTCCCCCAAAAAAAAAACCTGGATACTTTCTCCCTCAAGGTCAGTATTTGTGATTAAGGTAGGCCCTAGTTATGTTCAGTTGTCATGCAATTAACACACAGAACCTGCACACTGCTTCTCGTCCCTCTTTAAAATTCTGTAATCAAGCCAGCAGTAGGATTTGTTTAATTCCAAAACAGCAAGCCATTTCTAAATGGAGCAAACATAGGATCAGGCCAAAACAAAAACAAAAATTAACAGAAAGCTAGTCATGTGAAAAATATGGGTGATATTGTATTAGTACGAGCCCTGCTGTAAAGCCTGTGTGTTCACAGGGCCGGGAGCCAGGAATCCCCAGGCTCTGAACACCCTCCCTTTCTGTGGTCTTAGCAAAGTCACAAATTGCTGGTCAGACAATTAAAAGAAACACGAGTTTTCTGAAATTTCCTGCCCAGCAATGGCTGCAATCTGCTCTGCTTGTAATACTTACCCAAATAAGTGTGTTGCCAGGGCTCCTCAGCCTCTCTCTGAACAGTCTCCTCCTGGCTGCCACGAGTTTAGATCCACGCGTGGTCGTGAGCACAGGAGACCCGTTGTGAGCACGGCTCCTAGTGTTTTGTGCACTGTGTATCAAACTCCTGTCTACACTAATGTGCCTACCAATGGTGCTGAATCTGAGTTAGCAGCAGTGAGAAATTTTATAGAAAAAAGCCAAAAAAGGCCTAGTGTAGATAAGCATTCGTAGCACATGTAGCATTGAATTTCCAGAGAGCTCTCAAATGTAAAGTATATTTCAACCCCAGTATCTTGTTTAGATTCACAGAAATATTAGTGACTGAGACACTAAATCATCAGCCCTTTCCTTAGTGTCTTACAGTTTATTTTTTGCCCACTAACTTTTATTCTTGCCAGTCGCGGGGAAGGTGGAATAGGTGGATTGTTTCAGCAGTCCAGGAAAGGGCATGCACTGCAGTACACATTTTACAAGCAGTTTGGGTTCCATGTCAGTTGGCTGCCGCAGTTTAGAGGGGGAACTTTTCTGAATCAAAGACGTCTGTTAAGTATAAGCCCCTTTCACTACAGACTCAATCAGTCCATACAGTGATTAGGTCCCATGAACTGCAGCACATGTCTATACATGGGAGGAGGGAAAGCTGATCTCAGAAGGGAAAAAAAAAATTAAAAACTGGAATCTCTTTCTGGAGTCAGTTATTAAGGACTCAGCTGAAGGCACTGAGAGCTTTATCTGACCAGGGTATACAACATCAGGCCTTATATTAGGGAAGTCTGGGGCTTCTGTTCTGGGCTTTTGTATTTGATATATGTAATTAATTACTTAGTTTGGTTTGTTTGTGACGCTATACTCACTTATGGGAGAGAGGCTTTATAAATGCACATGCCACTGTTCACAATTATGAACTAGAATTTGAAGAGGGATGGGAAAAAATAGGACTCAATGTTCTTTATTACTCTAAAAACCAGAAACATTTGTTTTGGTCATGAGGTTTGTTGGCCTTTCCTGCACCATCTCCTCTCCCCGCCCCAGAAAATACCACTTCAATTACTGCAAGGGACAGCAAGAGTCTTGGGGAAACAGTCTGCTGAGAAAGAATGAAATAAACAGAAAGGAAGCTGCAGACTTGGATATTTTTCAGTAATATTCACTTTCAAGTAGTAAATAGAAAACCCGGATGTTCAGTTCATGACTGAAGAGTTGCTGCTGAATTCACCCTAGACTGGATGTGTTTGGATCAAAGCATATGACCTAATGCTTGTTTTTTTTCTTAAATAACAGCACATTGACTGGGTCAATTTTTCCCCCTCCTTGGCCATATCTTTATTCACAATCAGTTGAATACTACAACCTGCCTGGACATTGGTAGTATATTAAAAAAAGGAAAAAATTAAATCCATGAGAATAATTACTTTGAACTAATTTAAAAAAAACCAAACACCCCAACCTGGTCATTTGGCATGCAATTCAGTGTTTAGATAGACTGGACTATGGTAAGGAAAAAATTATGTTGAAAATTACTTTTAACTAGATTCTTGCTCGAGACTATAAAATACACAATATAAAATACGCAAAAAAGGTAGCAACTGACCTTTTGTTGTACAGTTATTTGCTGCAATACAATTGCTGTTTAATTTTTGCTGATAGTAAATGGTTTTAGTTACACATGAGACGATGAAAGACTATTTGAATAGACAGTCTCTCACTTGAGATTAACTTTAATGTCAAAGTTCAATTCAAATTAAGCACATACTTTTATGCCCTGAACCTGAAAACACTCACATGTTGATAACTCTGAAGCCAGCAGGACTGCTCACGCTTGAAGTTATGCAAGTATGTTTGCAGCAAAGGCTTGGGGCCTTAACGAGCAAGTGAGTCACTGGGCATTGAGTATGTTCAGCACCTCAGAATCTGACCTTAGTTTTGACCATCCATCCATCCCTTCACCACCTCTTGCCGTAGCTCTACCGCTATGTGCTACATCACCCACCAGGCTGGGGTTCTTCCATCCCTGGGGCTGTGGAATAGAAATCTGGCTGGGTTACTGATTTTGAGACCTGTAAATATATATGCATGGGGTGAGTCTGCTGAATTGAGCCAGCCTCCTCTTTCTCACCTCACCCCTAAGATAAACCTTAACTCCCCCATTACCTTCTGTCATCACAAAGGCTGTTCGCTGGCTGAGAGGGATGACTTCTCCAGTGCTGTACTAATGATGCTCCTGAGAAGTCAGCAGGGTTTGCTCCAGAGCCACACAAGACTTCCCCGTTCCTGAGATCACCATTTCCCCAGGGCTCCCAGCTTCAGGCAACTTGGGGAGCAAAAGGCAGTCTAAAAGTCTAACCCAGGTCTCCTGCTGGTTATTTTTCAGTATCTTACTGTACTGAGGTCAAAGGGCATCAGCCCAGGCTTCCATGTACTTTGGATTTTAGTTCTATCATTTTATATGTATTCAGTGCTCATGAGAAATCCTAGCCTTGGAGGCGGAAGTTCTCTCTTCCCTACAGAGGAGGTACACCACAGGCAGTAGCAGCACAAGCTGCCGCATCAATGGGCCTCTAATACCAACACAAAGGTCCACCCCAGGTGAGTAGTATATTGGAGACAACAATAATACTTAGCTCTTGTACAGAGATCAGTAGATCTCAAAGCTCTTAGCAAAAGAGGTTATTAGCAGCCCCGTTTTACAAATAGGGAAACGGGCACAGAGAGGGGAAGTGACTTGCCCATGGTCACCCAGCAGGCCATTGGCAGAGCAGGTAACAAAACCTTGGTTTACTGGTTCCCAGTCCAGTGCTCTGCCCACTAGACCACCCTACCTTGATGTAGGCCATGCCCTGCGAGTGTAATATGACAATAAATCAGTCTCTAGTGATTTAAGAGAACTAGTAATCAGGAAAACACATGAAAGGAAACAAGATAAAGAGGGGCTAAATTTCACCCTCCAATGTACGCTCACCACTGAAAATACTGAGGGCTATGCGCGGGTCAGAATTTGGCTCCTCAAGCTTTAAGCCAAGGGTAAGAAGGTCAGCTATGGAAAGATGACCAAGATACTTCTGAGGCATAAAATTCTGCGTCTGCCGGCCACCGTTCCACTTTGTCATCATCGGATTTATCACTGTCATCACCACTAGATGGTTCATAACCAGTCATGGAAGAGTCAATCTGCTCCGGCTGCTTCTGGTCACCTTCTGCTTCCTTCTTCTTTTCTGCCATCAGCTGCCTGTAGCATAGGCTACAGACCCTCAGCGGCTTGGGGGACAAGCGTGGCATCAGAAATCTCTGTCTGGAGCAGTCCCCGCACACAACGAAGCCACACTTCCGACAGTGATGCCTGCGAGTGAGCGTGGAGAACTTGGTCTGTGTGCAGCGCATACAGATATCAGTGGCCTTGTCGGGTATCCAGGGGGCAGCATGCTCCATGGAGGGCTGCCTGCCTGTCTTTGTCAGCAGATGCCTAATGCATTCCTCAAGGTGACTAAGCCATTCTTTCCTTTCTGTGAGGGAGGCTGCAGAAACAACAAAGGACTTCTTCAAAGTTTTAATCATCCATCGATTCTTCATTTGTAAGGTATCCGGCAGTGTCTCTAAGGTGACATCTTCAAGAGGTATGATGTGTTGGGAATTGTACTTCCTTTTGTTTATCACTATGCTCCCATACACAAGGATATCATTGAAAAGAAAGAATACCCGAGGCTTAGGCTTCTTGCGGCATTCTTTGGTCAAAATTCCTTCACCCAAAAGGACCCTTCCTGGCACAGCTAAGGGTTGTCCAGATGCCCCAAAGCAGTTTTCCACGGAAGCAATGCGTTGGCTGTTAATTTCGGTGTTAACCAGATGGTCCATCATCTCCTTCATTCACCCTAGAGGGGGGAGAAGTGGGGGGAGGAGGAAATAAAGTAATAACTGTGTTCAGCAAACAACTGAATCAATCCTAGCTTCCAAAATGAACAGCAAATTTAAACAGCAGTAAGTAGCTTTTCAAAGAGCCAGGAGATGAGTTTAAGTTTTCCGGGTGGTACTACCCAGCAATGACTTATTAAAACACTCTTCAAAATGAAAAGGAAAACCCACTGAAGCGTCTGATATATTTTGTAGCAGGCTGATACTGACTATTCTCAGGAATCAGAATTCAGTTACCCATACTTCAGTTACCTTCTATCGCATACTGGATAAGGTATAAAACTCTGTATTGTGGCTACAGTTATACCAGGATAAAAGTACTTATGCCAGTGTAGTTTATTCCCATTCATATAGATTCCAAAGGGACCTGTGACCATCAGAGCCCCCTCCGTGCCCACTGGCAAAGGGTTCACTGCCCATGCAACAGCGACTTGTATCAAGCCTGAAACTCACCTCACTTAACTCATTGCTCTCATGATACACAATGTTCTTTATAGATTAGTAAGATATCAAAGGAAATCCAGTGACACACTGGTCATTAATATCATTGTGCAACATATGTGTTAACACTCCATAGCAAATCATGGATACTTACAGACTTTAAAACCATAAAATCAATAACAAAACAAAGGGAAAAAAACAGGTTTTCTTCCAGATAATTATCTTCCCTCCTGGCTCCCTTCTCTAATGTAAACTGCATACCTTGTGTGCAACATCAGCTGAGCCAACAGTGCATTCAGGCTCTTTGAGACAGCAGACGTGGTAATTTCTGTTAGTGTCCAGGGACAGGATACTGCAAAGGGGGTTCGGGAACTGGGGACACCAAGTGCTCCCTGCAAGGCAAAGTAAGGGTAGGGAGAGTCCTAAGGAGTTTGCTTGGCTGGCTGGGAGCTGTCACACAGTTTAGCACCAACAAAGCCTTCTTTTCTAAACATCCAATCTTCATTTAAAAATGGTCAATGATGGAGAATCCACCATGACCCTTGGTATATTGTTCCAATGGTTTATTACTCTCTGTTAAAAAAAAATAAAAATGTACCGCTTAATTGCAGTGTGAATTTGTCTAGCTTCAACTTTCAGCCACTGGATTGTTATCTTTCTCTGCTAGATTGAAGAGCCAATTATTAAATATTTGTTCCTCATGTAGGTGCGAATGGACTGTAATCAAGTCACCTTTTAACCTTGTCTTTGTTAAGCTAAATACACTGAGCTGCTTGAGTCTATTACCATAAACCATGTTTTCTAATCCTCTGATCATTCTCATGGCTCTTCTCTGAACCCTTTCCAATTGATCAACATCCTGCTTGAATTGTGGGCACCAGAACTGGACACACTATTCCAGCAGCAGTTGCACCCGTGCCAAATACCGAAGTAAAATAACCTCTCTATTCCTTCTCAAGATCCTTCAGTTTATGCACCCCCGCATTGCATTAGTTCTTTTGGCTAAAGCATCATAGGGGGTGCTCATGTTCAGCTTATTATCCACCACAACCCCCAAACCTTTTTCAGAGTCACCACTTCCCAGGATAGAGTCCCCCCATCCTGGAAGTATGAACTGCATTGTTTGTTCCTGGATGTATAAGTTTACGTTTGATCCTATTAAAATGCATATTATTTGCACCTAGTTTTCCAAGAGCTCCAGATCGCTCTAATCAGTGATCTTTCCTCGTCATTAGTTACCACGTCCCCCAATTTGTGCGTCCTGTTCAAACTTTATCTGTGATGATTTTATATTTTCTTCCAGGTCATTGATAAAAATGTTAAATAGCATAGGGCCAAGAACCCATCACTGCGGGACCCCACTGGAAACACACCAGCTCGAGGATGAGTCCCCATTCACTTAAAATTACATGTTGAGACCAAGTAGTTGGTCAGGCTTTAATCCATTTAATGTGCATCATGTTTAGTGTTGTTTGTTGTTGTTTTTTAAATCAAAATGTCGTATAGTACCAAGTCAAAAATACCTTACAGAGTTCTAAGTACAGTACATCAGCACTATTATCTTTACCAACCAAACTTGTAATCTCATCAAAATAAGATAAAATTAGTTTGACTAGATCTATTTTCCATAAACCCAGATTGATTTGAATTAATTGCATTACTGTCCTTCAATTCCTTATTAATAGAGTCCCATATCAAGCTGCTCCATTATCTTGCCTGGCACTGATGTCAGACTGATAAACCTATAATTACCGTTTTTATCTTTTTAAAAATTGGCACAACAATAGTTTTTCTAATTTCCCCAATGCTCTGACTTATTGAAAAATCAACATTAATTGTCCACTGAGCTCAGACAGTTCTTTTAAAACTCTTGGATACAAGTTTTCTGGACTGGTTGATTCAAAACTATGTCTAACTTCGGTAGCTTCTGATGAGCATCCTCCAGAGATTCTAGTGGAATGGAAAGTGTTACCACTATACGATGAGACTGCATCAAGCTTTTCCCCCAAAATACGTAACAGAAATATTTACTGAAGAAGGGTTTTAGAGTAGCAGCCATATTAGTCTGTAGCGACAAAAAGAGTACTTGTGGCACCTTAGAGACTAACAAATTTATTTGAGCATAAGCTTTTGTGAGCTGCAGCTCACTTCATTGGATGCATGTAGTGGAAAATATAGCGGGGAGATTTTATATACACAGAGAACATGAAACAATGGGTGTTACCATACACACTGTAAGGAGAGTGATCAGGTAAGGTGAGCTATTACCAGCAGGAGAGAGGGAGAGAAAAAAAACCCAAAGCCTTTTGTAGTGTTAATCAAGGTGGGCCATTTCCAGCAGTTGACAAGAATGTGTGAGGAACAGTAGGGGGGGGAAATAAACATGGGGAAATAGTTTTACTTTGTGTAATGACCCATCCACTCCCAGCCTTTATTTGAGCCTAATTTAATGGTGTCCAGTTTGCAAATTAATTCCAATTCAGCAGTCTCTCGTTGGAGTCTGTTTCTGAAGTTTTTTTGTTGAAGAATTGCCACTTTTAGGTCTGTAATCGAGTGACCAGAGAGATTGAAGTGTTCTCCAACTGGTTTTGAATGTTATAATTCTTGACATCTGATTTGTGTCCATTTATTCTTTTCTTTCTCTGCTTGGCCACCGCAGTCCACAAACACTTCAATCTCTCTGGTTTTAAAAAAAAAGGGGGGGAGGGGGTTTTATAAAAAAAAAAATAAAGAGTTTTTTAAAAAGAACCGTTTTTGTTTTTTTTTTTAAAAAAAAAAAAGGGGTTTTGTGTACCACTAAGAAACCAACTTTTTTTTTGTGGGTGGTGTTTTGGTTTTCTTTTCCTTCTTTTTTTTTTTTTTTTACTTTATATATACACAGAGAATAGAAACAAACCTCCTCCCACCCCACTGTCCTGTGGTAAAGCTATCTAAAGTGATCATCAGGTGGGCATTTCCAGCACAAACCAGGTTCTCACCCTCCACCCCCCACACAAATTCACTCTCCTGCTGGTGCTAGCCCATCCAAAGTGAAACTCTTTACATAATCAAGTCGGGCTATTTCCTGATAAATCCAGGTTTTCTCACATCCCCCACCCCCATACACACACAACCTCACTCTCCTGCTGGTAATAGCTCATCTAAATGACCACTCTCCAAGTTTAAATCCAAGTTAAACCAGAACATCTGGGGGTGGGGGGTAGGAAAAAACAAGAGGAAACAGGCTACCTTGATAATGACTTAGCCACTCCCAGTCTCTATTTAGCCTAAATTAATAGTATCCAATTTGCAAATGAATTCCAATTCAGCAGTTTCTCGTGGAGTCTGGATTTGAAGTTTTTTGTTTTAAGATAGCGACTTCATGTCTGTGATTGGTGACCAGAGAGATTGAAGTGTTCTCCTACTGGTTTATGAATGTTATAATTCTTGACATCTGATTTGTGTCCATTTATTCTTTTACGTAGAGACTGTCCAGTTTGACCAATGTACATGGCAGAGGGGCATTGCTGGCACATGATGGCATATATCACATTGGTGGATGTGCAGGTGAACGAGCCTCTGATAGTGTGGTGATTCATTAGCCACCTGTCAGATGGTGTCCCCTGAATCAGATATGTGGGCACCAATTGGCAACGGGTTTGTTGCAAGGATAAGTTCCTGGGTTAGTGGTTCTGTTGTGTGGTATGTGGTTGTTGGTGAGTATTTGCCTTCAGGTTGGGGGCTGTCTGTAGGCAAGGACTGGCCTGTCTCCCAAGTACTTGTGCAAAGTGTTGGGTCATCCTTTAGGATAGTTGTAGATCAAAAGCGTGGAGGGGTTTAGTTGGGGGGAAGGGCAGGTGTATTTGTAGGCCTACGTAAAAGAATAAATGGACACAAATCAGATGTCAAGAATTATAACATTCATAAACCAGTCGGAGAACACTTCAATCTCTCTGGTCACGCAATCACAGACATGAAGGTCGCTATCTTAAAACAAAAAAACTTCAAATCCAGACTCCAGCGAGAAACTGCTGAATTGGAATTCATTTGCAAATTGGATACTATTAATTTAGGCTTAAATAGAGACTGGGAGTGGCTAAGTCATTATGCAAGGTAGCCTGTTTCCTCTTGTTTTTTCCTACCCCCCACCCCCCAGATGTTCTGGTTTAACTTGGATTTAAACTTGGAGAGTGGTCAGTTTAGATGAGCTATTACCAGCAGGAGAGTGAGGTTGTGTGTGTATGGGGGTGGGGGGGGGGATGTGAGAAAACCTGGATTTATGCAGGAAATAGCCCGACTTGATTATGTAAAGAGTTGTCACTTTGGATGGGCTAGCACCAGCAGGAGAGTGAATTTGTGTGGGGGGGTGGAGGGTGAGAAAACCTGGATTTGTGCTGGAAATGGCCCACCTGATGATCACTTTAGATAAGCTATTACCAGCAGGACAGTGGGGTGGGAGGAGGTATTGTTTCATATTCTCTGTGTATATATAAAGTCTGCTGCAGTTTCCACGGTATACATCTGATGAAGTGAGCTGTAGCTCACGAAAGCTCATGCTCAAATAAATTGGTTAGTCTCTAAGGTGCTACAAGTACTCTTTTTTTTAAACAAAGTAAAACTATTTCCCCATGTTTCCCCCCCCCCCCCCCCACTGTTCCTCACACATTCTTGTCAACTGCTGGAAATGGCCCACCTTGATTAACACTACAAAAGGCTTTGGGGTTTTTTTCTCTCTCTCTCTCCTGCTGGTAATAGCTCACCTTACCTGATCACTCTCCTTACAGTGTGTATGGTAACACCCATTGTTTCATGTTCTCTGTGTAAATAAAATCTCCCCACTGTATTTTCCACTGCATGCATCCAATGAAGTGAGCTGTAGCTCATGAAAGCTTATGCATGAAAAAATGCGTTAGTCTCTAAGGTGCCACAAGTCCTCCTGTTCTTTTTACTGAAGAAGGGGAATTAGCTAAACTGCTCTAAGGCACCTTTATACTGGCAAAACTGCATCCACATTAGGAGTCGTACCAGGATAACTATATCGGTGTTAAAAACAGAAAAACTACACCCCTAACCAACAATTATATTGATACAAAAAACTGTGTGGAGACCAGTCCGTAGAAGTCAATACAATCTTACAATGCCTTTTTAAATGTCACTCCTGAAAGGTGCTTGATAGACAGGCATAAAAACTAGAGCTCTGTCTGTACAGCAGGGATGGCTCTGGCAACCCGCTCATCACTGCACCCCTATCCTAAAAGGGGTTGCCTTTGCAGGCGTGTCCACACTAGCACTTTTTTTTTAAACCTGTTATTAGCAACTGGTTCAGTTGTACTAAGTGCTAGTGTAAACAGAGTGCAATTGTTTTTACCACCATCTACACTCGCATTTATTGCTAACACCAGTGCAGCTGCACTCCCTGCTGCTAATGGGTGGAAAGTCTGCTAGTGCAGCGATCTAAGTGCAGTCTCCACACCCACTCAATTCTTAGCCTCTCTGATGAGACTACCAACGAAGGCTGCATAGACAAACTTTCCTCTAGGCACTGGAATGAAACAATTAATTGAATTCAAGGATACCACTCACCACCCAGATGGTAACAGCTCTGATCACTGCAAACCCAGGCTGGAACCGAAGCAGAATTCCAGAAGTGGAAGGCTGCATGCTCTATTATCAATTCTCTGAGCTATCCCCTGTGAGCCTCCTCTTATTGGACTGACAGGACTGAAAAAAAAAAAAAAAACCCAAACAAGCCAGCCCACACAACCCAACCCCTGCATTTATCACACCAAGTGTTCCTTTTGTTATTTGTGTTTCCAGTTAAAGACACTCATTCTGAAAACTTTCTGAATAGTACTAAAGGAACTAGATCATAGCATACTCATTCCTCCCTCTCATCTCCACAACACTACTCCCCTGTTCAACATTTTTTTATTTTAAAAGTACCAGGTTACATGATGTGAAAGTAACTCCTTTAAGTCCCTAATTTGGTGTCAATTAAATACCTTCATGCTCATGACGTAAAATCTTCCTCCACTTACACATTTAAAATGCTGTTTGTGTTACTGGTATTGGCCCCAAGACTCTGGGTCTAGGTGTAATAATCCACAAGAAACCTCATAAGAAACTGAATCACTTCCTTTTAGACAGCAGTAGCTCAGAGTTCACAGGGGATGTGCATAGGTCTTTGTTTGTTAGCGTTTCTTATAATGGCTAATACAAAACTACTTGTTATCTCAAAAACTTAGCTTTCAAAAGATCTAAAAGCCACACAGTGCTTAGACTTCTTAGCGTCAGTGATGGAGACTACATGGAGAAAATTCTAGACAATTTACATTCATAGGGCATTTTTCATCTCAACACACCCTTTCGGGGTAGTGATAGGGAAAACACAACCACCTCCAGAGTAGTAGCTTAAACATCATATAGTGACACTAAGCAGTTTCTAAAAACAGCAGCAGCCAATCAAAATTACTGGAGACAATGAATTTAGAATGTGGCCAGAAGACTGCTATTAATAACCATATAATTTACAGGAAGCTTAGGGCCAAGTTTTCAGAAGAGCTCAGCTCCCACTTAGGAACCTAGATGAAGTGGCTGTATTTTCCAAGCACCCATCAGTTGTCATTGAGTAAAATGGGCATCCTTGGGTGCTGAATCTGCCTGACCACAAATGATCAGGGCCATGTCTTTAGCAGACATGTAAATACAGTGCCTTTAGCAGCAAGGTGCCCAAGGCATTGGCTTCTGTATGAATTTAGAGGGAAAGCCAACATTTCTTCTGGAGCACCTGTGTTTTCCTTGGCAATCTTTCTTCCTAATAAATGATGGAACCACAACAGCTACTTTTTGCATGTTGTTGGGATTATGTCCCACACAGGCATAATGAGGCGAATGCAAGCTATGAGCAACCAAAAAAAGGACAAACCCCTGACCTCCCTTGAATTCAGGGAAGGCCCTAATGACCCTCTGACTCACTTCTGTCAGGATGTACAGTATTTCTTCAAGGCTATGAGACAATAGATTTGATGGATTCAGACTGCATTAAGCACATCTATTCATCAATGTGTAGTGTAGTCTAAATCCAACTGCAACCTCTACCATACACTGATGAATGAGGGAAAGTAGCACAAAAATAGCAGAGATTTTATTCACTCTTCCTCTAAAGGTTACACAGAAAAATATCTGTCTGTCATTGGAAAGTTTCTCTGAAAAATAAAATATTAGCAGACCATGACTTCTGCTCTGTGAAGTTTAAACCAAGGAAAAAGAGCAATAATTGTGTCAGGGATGTTTAATGGGATACAAATGCCACCAGGCCCATCCCACTAAGAACACAGCTGAAACTCCGCACCCATCTACTCCACTCCCACACAACACAGTTGTGCATCCATTTCCATATAAGAGTGTTGCTGGAGGCAGCCTTTCCTAGTTATTTCATGGTGGTGCTCATGAGCGATATTAGAATGGGACTTACAAGCACCTTATGCCAGAAGGCCTAAAGGAGCAACATTTTCTTAAGTAATGTTCTAGAGACATTTTCCTTTAAATAAAGGTATTTTGAATGTTGCATTATGGGAATAACTGTCTTCCCCTTGTGTTGGGGAGAGTGGAAAGTGTCACCGCTTAGCTGGTTGGAGCAGATGAGACTCCTCCAGCCTAGGTGGTTATCCTGCAGGCATAACAATGCCAGGATTTAACTTCTGCACTTTCCATTACAGCGAGTCTACAATCATTTTTCTCCCTCCTGCCTACACAGACATTGCACAATAAATGGATGAAAGGTTTAAACAGAAGAATGATTGCGCACAGAGGGCACAGCATGGCCCTCGGATAAATGCCATGTACACTGATTTTCCAGATCTGGAGTCTTGCCTGCTTTTGGAGACGTACAAACAAAACCTTAGGAGAGGAGCTTTGAGCACAAAGGAGATAAGAAAGACACAATGATACCCAGCCAAAAGAGAAATAGAAGTAACAGAGGAGAGACTGAAACAAGGGCAGATTGGTGTGGGGGAATTCAGGAATTTTGGGATTATCAATGCAGAATTGGATAGGTTTTACAGAGATTCTTAATCCTGTTTATGGCAATCTCACTGCATGGTAATATAAGAGCTTGACTCCTGGGTTCTATTCCCAGCTCTGCAACTGACTCACCATGTGATCACCTCCTCTCTTTCCCATGTTACTTATCTGTACAATAGGTAAAATAAGCCTTAGATCTCTCAGAGGGACTCTGTGAGACTATTAGGGTATAAAGTGATTTTAAAAGGGTTGAGTATGTGTAGTGTGTTTAGTAGCTAATTCGAAAGGTGGAGCAGGGTTCAGGACAATGCTCTGGTGAGAATCCCACCACGCCCCATTCTTTCCCAGATGTTGTGGGGTTGGCTGGCTTCTCATTAGGCATTGGTCCTGGACAGTGGAACCCCAATCTTCCATATTAGTCTGTGACTTTTAGGTCAATCCTCTATTTTAGAAGAATGGTAAAGTTTTGTAGTGAGTGGGAGTGCATGGATGGTCAGGAAAGAGACACAGGGAGAATTCTATATACTTCCTAAACTTCTAAATAAACTGACAATGTAATCCCAGATTAAGGATATGCCGCCAGAAGACATAGGGTAAATTTTCATAAACACCTTACTGCAAGTCAGTGGGACTTAGGAAAATTTTTAACTATCATGCTTATTTTGGCTCTTACACAGCACAGAACTCTTTTAAATTTTGTTACACCAGAACAATGGGACAACAGACTGCGTGTAAACACCCTTTCCATTCCCAAATGAGAGAAAAACTAAAGGAACTACCTGTCTAGTGGCTTGGATCTGGAGATTATATTCTTGTACCCCAGTACCCTAACCTGTTACTTTTTGAAAGAAGAACTGTTAATTACCCAAGGGGGGGGGGGAATCCTCCAAACCACTGCTTGTTAGTGTGTTGCCAGTATGGGGTCAAATGGGCAAAACAGTTTTATTACATATCCCTGGTGTCCCATGATCCCACCCATGGATTTCTGCCTCTACAGTAAAATTTGCCCTGATTTAATCAGTTCAAAAATATGATAAGTTCACTTCCCACCTTACTCCCCAAGGAATAAATGGTTTACTAAAGTGAGTGTATACTTCTCAGATAAACTGTAAATTACCATTTGTTTATGGATTATGCATCAGGTTGCAAAACCAATTTTTCTTTAATAACATTGTGATTAATTTTAAATGTTATTTAGTTTTCTGTACAAATGGAAGGCACTGCATGAATTTAGGGCTTTTCTTACTGGTAAATAAAACAGACTTCTGGGAATATGCAATATTTCCCTCCCCCCACCCATGAAGTGAGACACCATAATTTAGGAATAATAAAGTAACAAGCAAATTAAAAAGTCAGGATGTAATTTCTGATCCAGCCTATTAATTTGGGAAAATATGTCATTTTTGTTCTGCTTGTATCGAAGTCTGCTCAGAGACATCACATTAGTTATTAAAGGAAATGCTATGGAGCTAATTAAATCACTACAGTATATTTACCAATAAACAGTAAAATGTGGGCATGCATATACATACATACACACAGGTGCCAGTCGTGATGGTGGGTTTGTGTAATGTGGTCACCGGTCCATCAACTCATTACAAATAGCCATCAAACGGTAAAAACTTTCTCTCATTACAGAACAAGCCCCAACTGGTGGGAATAGCCATGTGAGAGAAGTATTGTGTACACACAGATGTGTAGGAGGAAGGAAAGGAAAGAAACGGAACGAAGGCACAGCCAAAGCAAAAACGGTGTGAGATGGTTGCATACTAGTCTAATTTCCCTGGCATTTGACAAACACCTTTTTTTTTTGGTATTCAACTTGCTCTATAGCTAGTTAATATATATTAGCTAATGAATACTGGTGAAATACACTGAACTCTTTGTTTCCACAATTCGATCATTTGGAGTAGTAAATTATATATTAAAAAATTAAACACTGTAGTTGATTAACGTGACAATTAAACACAGTGCACAGCTGTTTCAGTCCTTTAAACTGAAAGAGAGCATGGCTTTGGCGAATGCTGCCTCAGGAACAGTGCAGCCAGGGGTGAAAATAACTTAAAGAACTTACCGGTACTCTGGAGTCCTGAGCAGGGGGCGTGGCTCTCGACTGGAAGAGGCGGGGCCTTTAAATACCCAGGCCCTTTAAATCAAGAATTAAAGGCCCAAGGGCTCCGGCTGCGGCTAGGAGCCCTAGGACCTTTAAATCACCCCCAGAGCTACCAGCTGTACAGGCAGCTGGGAGCCCCGGGGCAATTTGAAGAGCCCCAGGCTCTGGCCGCCACTACCGCAGCAGAGCTCCAGGCCCCTTAAATCACTGCCGGAGCCCTGCCACTGCTACCCCAGGGCTCCAGCAGCGGGGCTCGGGTGGCCGCTTTGAAGGGCCTGGGGCTCCCCGCAGCAGCCAGAGCCCTGGGCTCTTTAAAGCACAGCCAGAGCCCTGCCGCTGCTACCCTGGGGCTCCGGCCGCTGCAGGGAGCCCGGGACCCTTTAAAGCGCCAGCCTGGGGAAGCCGGCGCGGCACGGCACGGCGCACTGGCTCTTGCCGGTACACTGTACCAGCTTTCTTTCACCTCTGAGTGCAGCACAGGTATTTTTCACCCTGATTAAAAATGTTGAGTACAGTTTTCAAGCCTATCTATACACAATGACTTACGCAACCTTTAAGTGTTAACCACAGGGGCCTGGTGGGTTTCCTATGGAGAAGTAGAAGCCTCAGCAATGGCACCTCCCCCCAGGTGCTGTAATCAGCTGTGAGTGCAGGCAGGGGATACTCCAAGTGCCCTGGGGAGTCCATGAGAGTTACCACACATCCACTGCCCACTCAGAGACCTCCATGTCATCACTGATATCCTTCCAGTAAAGAGACCTGGGCATGTCTCCCTCTGGAACCCTTCAACAGAGCACCAGCTGGAATCAGGCTACCTTGGCGTGTGATCTTGTCACTAGCTAATGTGACTGCAGCTGATGAAGGTGTAAGTACCTTCATGGGGAGAAAATACTTGGGACTAAAGGACTCCTAATTTAGTGGAGAAAGGCATGAATGGCTGGAACTTAAAGCCAGACAAGTTCAAATAAGAAATAAGGCACACGTTTTTAACAGTGAGGTGATCAACTGCTAGAACAAAGCACGAAGGGAAGGGGTGCAGACTCTCTCCATTTCTTGAAATCTTCAGATCAAGCCTGGATCCATTTCCAGAAGATACGCTTTAGTCAGACACAAGTTATTGGGCTCACTACAGGAGTAACTGGGTAAAGTTCTATGGCCTGTGGTATACAGATCACACTAGACAACCTAATGGTCTCTTCTGGCCTTAAAAATCTAATCAGATCTAATCTTCTGTATGTAACACCAAGGCTGCAGGAAGTGTTGCTAGTAATCAGTAGTTAGCACTCTTCTTTTTTATCTTGGTATTAAACATATGCCCCAGGATGGTATTACAAACCACTAAGTTGCTAGAGATGCACACTCTGCAAGAGTAGAGAGATGGAAGGCCATAACTGCAAGTGAAAAAGTAATGTTAATTGCTGACACAGATCAGTTGTTCATGAATACAAACAGAAAGCTGGAGTCCATTTGCATGAACAAATACACAGTTTGCTTGGGTAAACCCAGCAACTGTGCCGGCCAATCAAGCATAAAGCTGTTTTGAAGGGAAAAAAAATCAAAATATAACTGTAGATGCTGTAATTAAACAGTTTCCTGGTTTCACCTCAAAGCATTTCAAACTATATTGGTTCAGTTATAATACTGATTTCCTGAGTTCCACACAGACCCTGGTCTCCCAGCACCTGAAAGCTGTCTGTGCAGATCACAGTGCCACATAAAATGCATGATGCATAATTCCTTAGATGGAAAAAAGTTACAAAATTTGCAATTGATATTGAAACATGGTCATGTATTTTAGCGGGACTAAGCCTATTTTTCCAGAAGGAAAAAAAAAAAAGATAGTAAATACTTAGCATATATATAGCTCTTGTTAATGAGGGATCTTAAAGTGCCTTACAAACATGTGAATTAGGTGAGTATTACTATACCATTTAACAGATGAGTACATCAATGCTAATCATATACATTAAGAAAAGAGATTAGAAACAGTGCAATCACATTACAGAGGAGTTATAGAAGGATTATTATTACTGTTATGATTCAGTATTTGTAAAGCACCAACAACATGCTCAGTGTTGTAGAAGACACAAATACAAAGAGTTTACTGTCTAAAGGATAGTGAGCAGAAAAACAAAGGAAGTCCCAGGAGCTATGCTGGACTAAATCATACCCTGAAGGATTCTTGAGCATTTACTGTTATGAATTTTCTCTGCTTAACACTGTTTAAAATGCACTCTGTGCTTCATATTACTGGATCTTGTTTATAGGACAGAGATTTCCAAACATGTTGCTCAATGCAAATATTTCTAAACTGACTCAGGGGAAGGATGACACTGGACTGGGAAGATTTCTGCGTGGCCTTGTACCAAACTCTAAGGGCCCAGTCCTGTCACCCTCACTCACAGTGCGTAGTACCTTACCATGCAAGAAGTCCACTGATTTCAGCTGAACTTTTTTGTGGTGCAAGGCGTAACACTGGCAGGGTCTCGCTCACCCTCGCTGTGATTCAGTTCCCTAGCTGGGGATAATAATACTTACCTACCTCACAAGGTTGTGAGAAAAAAAAATGTATTAAAGTTTACAAGGTGCTCAGATTCTCGCGTGACTAGGAGTAGAGAAGTACCTATATAAATAGACCCGATCCCACTCCTCGTGGGAGCCAGTGAGTACAACCATGTCACCAACGCGGTTGCAGGGACTTAACACCTGCTACCTATTTACTCGCAATAGCTAAGCGCTGGGCGCTCCCATGTGAAAGGCAGCCAAGGCGCGATCCCCGGCGTGGCTCTGCCAGTGACACGTGAAAGTCAGCTGGGGTGCGGTAAAGTTCCTGCTGTTCCTGACTCAGCGCCAGCTGCGGGGGACGCGCTGGAGGGGGCCACGGGGGGAGCTGAGGCGGGCTGGGGTCCTGCCGCGGGCAGCGAACGCCTCTCCCCCCTGCACACGGGCTGGAGCCACCCGCCCCGCCCCTGCGCGCTTTACCTTGTGCCTTTCCCAGCCGGATCCCCTGCCTCGCGACCCGTCCCGCCGCCGCCGCCAGCGGCTTCGCAGGCTCCGCAGATCCCCGCTCCCGGGCGCGGCCGAGGCTACTGCGCTCCGGCTTCCCGCGGCCCTGGAACGCACCGCAGCATTCCTCGCTGCCCCTCAGCCAATCAGCGCGCGGCAGCCGGAACGAGACCGTCCGGTTCTGGAACGCTCCGA